TTTTCCCTGGCATCATCAACCAAGATACGAAGAGGCTCCAAAAGGTTGCGGATTTCCAACTCGGCTTCTTGTTGACGCACTCGGATGTCCTTCTCAATGGTGTCCCAGATGACGTGGAGTTCATCAGGGTTTACCCTAAGGCTCTAAAAACAAAACTCCCGATATCAGCCACTGTTCTCCCACACCAATTAATAAAATCTAGTACTTACGGCAGAAGCAGCAAAGGCAAGAGCAGCTGAAAGCAGCACGACAAATTTGAACATTTTAGAGTAGTTTTGATTCGATGGCTCAGAAGCTTAGACAAAATGTGAATGAATATATTTGTCAGAGTGGCAATATTTATACCAGCATTTTGAGTGCCTAAATCAGATAAGGAAGAAGAATGCTCGCAATGCAATAGTGATGATTTTAGCTGGAATTTGAAAAATGTGATACAAAACTGAAGTGTTTACGTTTACTCAAATATTATAAACATCGAATTCCAAAGGGATTTTCTTAATTCAGATAATTATTATGATTGTTGATTTAGTTTTACCACATTTGATTATAGCCAAAGCTGAAGGTTTTGTACTTTTACTGGAATCGGGAACTAGCAAGCTGTCCTCATCTGGCCAAGTTTGATTGCAATGATCAATCATGAGTAAAACCGACGATCGAACGAAATATGTTTAATTTCTACTCGTTCTTTCTTTGGCGTCTTTTTACTCCAAAACCCATATAAATCACAAAACGCTAAGAACGTTTACATCTTATACATCTGACATAAATCTACAGCTTCTCTCTGATACAAATGACTTTTTCAATATCGGTTTTGGTCTGGATGTATTTAGTAAACCATGGATGTAAATATAATTCGGACAATGTTGATACTCAACGCTTTCTCTTTTTTCAGATGCGTCCGAGATCATTTCAAGGGATTTTACAGTATTTGAAAAACATGGAGCGGAGGTTCTATGAATATTTATTACTGATCAATTAGTGGATTTTTCTTGACAAAACATGGTCGGAGACTCCACAATCATTCGAATGTTGAAGTACTTCAACTGCTAGACAGCCAGAACACAGTGAGGAGGTTTAAAAGGAGATAGCAAAAATGTTAACGTGAAATTTCACGTAATCAAATAATCATCATCATCATCATGAATTTAACAGTAGAAAACCAATTGGGTGAATTTCGCCTATTGGGACAGATCTAAACGATTGAGGAGAAGACGATCGACAAAAAGATTTTGTATAAATAGTTCATGTTACACCGATAGAAATAACCGTAATTTGGTAGAATGTAAAAATAAAAATGGGATACTAATATAAGCATATTTCATTTATTAACATTTCAATCACTGTGAAACATGTGACGGCAATATGTAAAACAACCGAATTCGTCCTCACGCCTGGTAAATCCCAATACGATGTTAAATCATACAGGCTGAATCCCCTCCTGCCTAGAAATTTAAACAATTATTCCTGAAAGCGCTCCAATCAATAACAAATAAGACAAAATTAATATTCTATCATCAGTTCGTATCTCAATCAAATCACTCTACAAATGATCAAGTGATGGAACAGCTGATGCTGATGCAGTAGGCAAATCCCGGGAAGAAAGGAAATTATGTTCTTCCGTATTTAATGACCTGGTGCAAGCTTTCGACAAAATATGGCACAAATGACTGGTTTGTAAAATCAGAAGAAAAGTTTATCTCAACGATTTTAATCAAAAAAATCAAACAGTCTTAGAAGTTCAGCGGAATTAAGTAAGCAAGTGGTTAATGAGATGTGATAGAAATTTAAGCAGGTGTGCGCTATACCATTGCCGTACGCCAACAAAAGAAAGTGAGACCAACATTCGCAGACTACACAGCACTAATGATAACCGATAACTATTCACTAAGCCCAGACACAAGAAAAAGCGAGCGACCATGTTTTGTTCCAAAATAGTCACTGATTGATAGTAATAAATTTTAATAGAACCGCCACTCCATGTTATTCATATACTGCAAAATACCTTGAAGTGATCTTGGACGCATGTAAGAAAAAAAGAAGAGTTGAAGATCAACATTGTCCGAATTATATTTACATCCATGGTTTACTAAAGAGATCCAGTCCAAAACTGATATTGAAGAAGTAATTGGTATCAGAGATAAAGGTGTATATTTATGAAATATGTATAAGATGCAAACGTCCTTATTTTGTGATTTATATGGGTTTCGGAGTAAAAAGACTCCAAAGAAAGAACGAATAGAACTGAAACCTCTTTCGTTCGGTCGTCGGTTGAACTCACATGTTGGCATGCACTCGGTTTATACTGGATTGGTATTTGTAGAGTCGTAGCAGAAATGAATCCTTCCTAGTTACATTTTGGTTGTGTGTCGGTAACCTGCTTACAAATTTTTTAATCATTTTTTTGATTTATTCGTGTAATTTTTCAAAAATATGCATTGCATTTTTGATGTAATTGATCATTGCAATCAAACTTGGCCAGCGGAAGAAGCTTGGTAGTTCCCGATTCGAGTAAAAGTAAAAATCCTTCAGCTCTGAACAAATGTAGTAAAACTAAATCAACAACAATAAGAATTATCTGAATTAAGAAAATCCCTTTGGAATTCGATGTTTATAATAGTTGAGTAAACGTAAACACTTCAGTTTTTTTATTCGCAACGCGTGGAATCACATTTTTCAAATGCCAGCTTAAATCATCACTATTGCATTCCGAGCATTATTCTTCCTTATCTGATTTAGGTACTCAAAATGCGGGTATAAATATTGCCACTCCGCATCATATGTTCATTCACATTTTCTCCAAGCTTCTGAGCCATAGAATCAAAACTACACCAAAATGTTCAAATTTGTCGTGCTGCTTTCAGCTGCTCTTGCCTTTGCTGCTTCAGCTGTAAGTACCAGATTTTATTAATTTCTGCGGAAGAACAGTGGTTTATATCAGGAATTTTATTTTTAGAGCCTTAGGGTAAACCCTGATGAACTCCACGTCATCTGGGACACCATCGAGAAGGACATCCGAGTGCGTCAACAAGAAGCCGAGTTAGAAATCCGCAACCTTTTGGAGCCTCTGCGCATCTTGGTTGATGATGCCAGGGAAAAGCTGGCGAATGACCTCCAAGAGGCCAACGCTGTGATCCAAGACGAAATCAGGAGAATCGAACAGGAACCTCACGGT